CCAGGATAGGCTCCAAAGCTACAGAGAAAGTGTTTTGGAAAAAAAAAATGAAAGAAAGAAATAAAGAAAAAAAAAAGAATTGCTTTGGTCTTGGTGTCTCTTTACAGCCATTGAACAAATCACTAAGACACCTGGACAGGGGAAAGGATAGTTCATGCTTTTAGTCAAAAATCAGGACAAATTATTTTGAGTCCCTGCCTAACATTTTATGTTTCCTGACCTCATCTGTGTTAAAAATTTAATAACTATTCTCTGAGCAAAATTCAAGCATTCATGATTTCCAGAACCTATTCATTTTATAATTGTAAATTTGGATTTTTGACACCATTTCCCCCATGTCATGCACCCCAAATCACTAATGACTGCAATTTTGCCCTATGCTTCATTGTGTTTGGAATTTTGCAGTTAACATGCCTCACATACATGTCTAAAGGCTTGTATCGTCATTAACATTAAAACTGTCTGTCATAAAGGATATTGTAGTTTGTTCCTCATCCCGTCACTCACTCTCTTTTTTCCTTTCTTGTTTTTGGATTATCTCTTGATAGCCTAGATATTCATTCATTCACATTGTTGTAAGTGATAGGATCTCTGATATGAGTGAATATCATCTATATTACTCTATTATTCATATGTATTGTGTATATTATACATTTTTCTATTCATCCAGCAAAGAACATTTGTATTGCTTTTATAGCTTAGTTATTATAACTTAACAATGAACATGAAAGTGAAATGAATTCTATTTTCTTCTTTTATACCCTCAAGTTAGATTACCGAATCATATACTTGTTTTATTTGTAGTTTCTTCAGAACTCTTTGTATTATTTTCCATACACTGTCTTATATTTTTGCTACCAGTATGCTTTCCATCCCTATCTCTAATGTATTTTGACTGTTTGAAAACAGATATCTGAGAAGATATGAGGGTCTGCTTCCTTATAATTCCATTTGTATGTCCCTGGTGTTTATGATCTTTTAATGCATTTCTACTCTACTCCTTCGTATCTCTGCAAATCACTTTCAAGTGAAACGTATAAGCGGCTCTAACTGTCTTCTGAGTAATTTGGTACTTGGTTACCTAAACGTATGTTAGGAATATATTCATTTTTTTGCATTAGTTTTGGGACAAGAGAGTTCACAACAATATAGTGAGAATTCAAGGTTATATGGATAAACACAAAGAAAATATCCTTAATTACCAGGTGTGTTTGCTACTATAAGTTGTTTTATTTTCAAGGTGGAATGATTCCATTTTAAGGAATTCAATTGTTTTATTGTCTTTGCCTAAAAATTCATATAATAGCAATCCTAAATGAAGTACTAGTCATGGCCTGAGAAATCAAACAAAGGTGACTTGCACAACTACATTTCCACAAAGTCCCAAATGTGGATGTATAGCAATTTGATCATAGTATTGAGTTGATGTCTACTTATGCAAATAAATCTTTTAAAATTATTGTTAACTATACTTAAGTCATTTTGGTAATTTTTTCTCTGTGTTTCAAGCATATGTTTTTAATCTCACTTTGTAAATTGTTAAAATTCAAACTATAACAAGATACGCTTCATAGGAACACTTTGTACAAACAACACAGAAATGGTCGTAATGTTTATGAATATATGTGAGGAGGTTTTCAGGGATCATCAGTCATATTGTCATAACAGGCAAGCATTTGGTAATAAAAAACACATTAAGAAAACTGTTTTTAAATCAAATAATAGAAGACTCTGATGTTACATTTTTAAACTATCAACTGAAACAAATGTCCAATTTCCTAAGCAAACAGGGTCAGCTTACTTATTACTTAAGAAAGTTAATATTTTTAATAATAAAATTAAAAAAAATAGTTCTGCAAATTTGTGATAAGTTGCCCTTGTAAAAGAATTAACACCAGAGAGGGGAGCAGAGAAAAAATGTAGACCTCAATAAAAATCAAAATAAAAAACAAAAAAAGACACATGAAAACAAGCACCTTTGTTGTGTTGCCATATAAGTAGTTGAAGTAATGTGGCCATCCAATCCCTCACATTCACATCCCCCACTTTCCCCTCTACCACTCCTCCTGTCTCCAGTCTTTAGTTTACCCAGGAGATCTCTTCTCTTTTCCCTTCCCACAGTGATCAATGCATCTTTCTTAGGGTCCTCCCCAGCTTCTGTGGGACTATGGACTGTAGCCTGGTTATCTTTTGCTTTACATCTAGTATCTGCTTATGAGTGAGTACTTACCTTATTTGTCTTACTGAGGAGTCTGTGTTACCGTACTCAAAATGATTTTTTTCTTGTTCTATCAAATTTCATGATGTCATTGTTTTCTACAGCTGATTAATATTCCATTGTGGTAAATGTATGTACATTTTCTTTATCCATTCTTCAGTTGAGGGGCATCTAGGTTTCATCCAGTAACTTATGAAGCAGATGCAGAACCACAGCTGAGCAGCTGGCTGAGATCTGGATGTCCAGTAGAAGAGAGGGAGGAGCAATTATATGAGCAAGGAGAGTCAAGGTCATAACCAAGAAATCCACAGAAACAGATGACTTGAGGTCTTAGGAGCTCACATTCTTTAGAACAACAACTAGGGAGCCTGCACGGGATGGAACAAGGCACTCTGCCTGTGGGTGACTGTAAAGGGAAGCTGTGGGCTGCATTCCTGCCACCTGGCTCCCGCTGCCTAGCTAGCTTATGCCCGAAATAATTACACGGAAACTGTATTCTTTTAAACACTGCTTGGCCCATTAGTTCTAGCCTCTTAATGGCCAATTCTCACATCTTGCCTAACCCATATTTAGTAATCTGTGTAGCACCAGTCTTACCAGGAAAAATTCAGCATTTCTGATGTGGTAGCTTCATGGTGTCTGCCCTGGAGAGGAGTGGCATGGCATCTGTCTGAGGTGTCTTACCTCACTGCCTCTTCCTCCCAGCATTCTGTTCTGTTTACTCCACCCACCTGTGTTCTGACCTATCGGGCCAAGCAGTTTCTTTATTAATTAATCAATGACCTTCCCACATCAGGTGACAGTTGTGTAACTTGATCTCTTTGTGAGGGCCCTGGAAGTGTGTCCAAGATCTTTCCCTCATGCATGAGCTGCCTTTTTGCGGCCTATTCCCAATGGTGGGATGTCTTGCTGAGCCTTGACATAGGAGGGAGGGGCTTGGTCCTGTCTCAACTCGGTGTGTCAGGCTTTTTTTGACTCCCTTAACTCTTTCTGAGAAGTGTATGGGGGATGGAGAGGAAGGGGAGTGGAAGAAGAAGAGGGAGATCAATGGTTGGTATGCAAAGTGAATACAAAATTTAAAATAAAAGTGAGGAAAAAAATCTGACTGTATGGATTAGAGGTCACATGCATCAATTATCTGCTTGCATGGTAGTATGTATCACTGGATGAAGCGGTGTTGAAAGAAATTCCCTGCTATGATTACTGTCAACACCAGAAAGAACAACTTCTTCCTTACCTGTTAAATTTTCCAGAACATATCAATGCAATACTGTACTTTCCATAAAGCATTGTCAACAGTCAAAAACATTTTTATATTAGGTGAGTTTTGTAGAGTGTGTAACTAAGAAAATCTATTGGAAAACATCTACTGTATCAGCATGATGAAAGTATAGAATGATTAGGAAGGGAAGAAGGAAGGAAGGGGAAGGAAGGAAGGAAGGAAAGAAAGAAAGAAGAAAAGGGCCTTGAATGACTACTGGCACCTGTACACATTATGATAGCTCATTTCATCCCCAAACAAATTATGTGAGAAGTGTAGGTATCCATCCATCCTATAAAGGCAAAGATGGAAATGTTTTCCAGCTGAGTGTGATTCACTAAATTAACTGTTTTCTTGGCATTGATATTAAATAGAATAATATAATGGTCTCTGTGTGTGTATGTGTGTGTGTGTGTGGTATGTGTGTTTGTACTATATTATCAAGGAATCCATTCAGATTGAAGAATAGTGACTTACTGGGAAATTCTAAAACACAGCAGGTTCATGAATGGTGGTTTTATTTATCAACAAACCATTGATAATTTAGTCTTTAAGAAAAGAGGTGGGGGTTCCTTGGACTTCCCACAGGGCAGGGAACCCTGATTGCTCTTCGGGCTGATGGAGGGGGAACCTAACTGGGGGGGGAATGGGAGGCGGTGGCGGGGAAGAGACAGAAATCTTTAATAAATAAATAAATTTAAAAAAAGAAAAATAAAAAAAGAAAATATTATTATATCATTATTATGCTAGATTTTGGTTTCTAACTTTTTTCCTTTTTCTCAAAGTATTTTTGTTTCAGTCCTGCTTACTATGAAGATAAAAACAAGAAGTTCATCAGCTTCCTGAAGTATTTTAAATATTCATTAGAAAAGTAGCCTTATGCCTAGAAATATTGCCATCTTTTTATTTTTACACAAAGGAGACAATGTGATCATTCAATGTTAATCAATATTAGGGAATCATATTGGCCACAGTGGTCCAATTTAATTCTGTGTTTGTGTGCTCAGGTGGTGATTAAAGGTTAGCCAATGATGGAAAAAAAAAAAAAGAAAATATCTAAAATGTGCTGGCAGTCCCCCAAATTTTGATGATTTCTTATAAGAATTAAAAACCCAGGAAAGATTCTGTTCTCATGATTATAGTACACTACACAGTGAGGATACAGACTAAAATTAGCAAAAACAAAGTAAAACATAGAGTGAAGTGTAATTTTAAAATATTGTAAATTTTTAATTAAAATTATTTTCTGATGTTTTATCATGTGTGTGTGTTGTACATGCATTTGATGAATGTAAAAACAGGCACATGAATACCATGGCACATGTGTAGAGGTCAGAGGACAACCTTGAAAGATGGCCTTCATCTTTCACCCCATTTGAAGAAAGGTCTCTTTGTTGTTGCACATTTCTGTGTATTTTCTCTTGCTGGCCCTTGAGTTTCCAGTTGCTGTCATGTTTCTACTTCCCGTCTTGCCGTAGGAGGGCTTAGATTATAGGTACATGAACAACAGCCACCCACACCCAAGAAAGATCACAAATGCAGTCCCCCACTACCTCAAATCATTGTGTTTCCTACATTTGGAGAAATCACAGGGGTCAGCACATTCTAAACATTCTTACTCAGTGGCTAAGCTTCTCCCTGGGAAAACCACCATCATGATCATGGTATCTCCCATTAGGTTAGTATGGAATGCCCAGACTTTACATGAGTTCTGGGCAATCAAACTCAGATCCTGCTACTTGAAGGGCAAGCATTGTATCCACTGAGCTGTCTTCCCGCCCAGGACATTTGTCTTCTCTCAGGGTAATCATAGGTAGAGTGCCTCAGTTTCCCAGCAGCAATGTATAACATTGGTCAAAAGTTATTAATCAAGAATTTTCATCCAAGGCTTAGTATTTTATTTTAGGTAATCACAAGCATAGTATACCTGAATGCTGGTCTTTACTGCTCACTATCAGAGGTGCATCTGATAGCCCAGGAGTCCAGGTGAACTAAAAAGCATTTATCATAAACAGCATTTCCACATTAGCTACCTGAGTTGATTCCAGGCCTAAACTGTATGGAGACACATCTTCAGGCTATTTCAAGATTTGAAAGCCATCTTTCAAATGTAAGGCCAGTGCTGAAAACTTTGCAATGTGCAGTGTTATAACAGCCCAAGCCTTCTGAGATAACCCTTACTTCATATTAGAAAGGCTATGAATACATCCTCATCTATTCGTCCTACTACAAAAAATTTAATATAGCACATTTTCCATCGTACACATTAAAGGCATCCATTTCACTAAAAATATAAGACCTTAGTCACTGGTCAATGTCTATAGAAAGAAGATATTACCAAAGAAGCTCAGATATAAAACTTATTGTAGAATTTGTCTTTCCAGGATGATTTTAGGAATATCATTGAGATTTAATGTGTAAGTCACCATTGAGTTTTTATCTATCAGAACACATATAGAACTAGACTTTATGAATTAGGTAGAAAAAAACTGGAATTAAAGAGAGGCAGCAGAAAGCGCAGCAGAGTCCAAGGACAGGTCCACTTAACAAGAGAGCTAGATTCCCCTAGATCTTGGCAAGACCAGAATTAAGTCACTAGTTATACATGAAAACTGCAGTAGGTCAATAATCAAAATGATAGAGCAAGTTGTTAATTTTATAATGTTGTTTAACAATTTGCCACCAATTTAACACTTTAAAAAAACATAAATTTACTTCCCATTCAGTTTTCTAGGAGAAAAGTCTGAAACAACTCCTATAGGGTTAAAAATAAGCTCTAGCTTGACAGGTGTTTGATGTGGAGTCTCCTGGGGAGAACACGTTATTTATTTTTAACAATATCCACCTACATTACAGGGGCCAGGGCTCCTTGATCCACCCTCAAAGTGCATTCCTCTTAACCCTAATGCTCTTCTACATCATTGTCCCACTCTGATTTCTGCACTTCCCCCATTTTCCCTTATTAGAACCGTGTGTGTGTGTGTGTGTGTGTGTGTGTGTGTGTGTGTAGGACCTAACCAGTGACTAACAGTAATCTGCTTTTTTGTTCACCTCAAGTTCTTCACTTAAATATATTGATAATTTTTTCCCCTTAATGCAATGTATTCATTCAAAAGTTTCAAGGTTTAGAGAGGGTACTTTTAAGGTTCATTGCTTTAACTGTCAGAATAGTGAGCAACATATGCCCAGGAATAACTAGGGTTGAAAAAGTATATCAAATGCTGTTGCTTTGGGATAAGTAGCCCAGTCGGTTTCTAAAAGAATATGGCTATTATTTTGTTTATTCAGAAACTGACTTCCATCAATGAATGGACCACAAACCCCCTAAATCCCATCAACATTTACAAGGTTTTTATTTCCTCCCACAGTGGTTCAGCTATTGATATTCAAGAGAAAGCTTTTATATTAAGGACCTATGTAGGCTAATAAGTACCATAGGAGTTACCTAAATAGCTATCATTTAGTCTGCATTTACTTTATATCTAATTTGCCAACCATGCATCTACAGTATACAGTTACTGTTATACCCTTTGAAACACCATTTTTTAGATTTCTTAAAGAAGATAATGAATCTAAATGGCCACTAACCTGCTCTGACATAACTTTGGAAGAAGCCTGAGTTAATAGATTTGCTTTTGTAAATGATAGTATTGTCATGTAAAATAAGACACCCCTTTCCTGTCATAGTTTTTCTATTCATAACTTATTTTATTATCATATTAATATTAGATTATACACCTTTGCTATTGTTGTAACAAACATAAGGATAATAACTGATGTTTCCTTGCCAAAGATAGAATTATTGCTTGAGGGAAGACAGTAGTATCCAAACAGAAATCTAACAAGAAAGGTGAGGAGACATTTCTTTCTTTCCAACAACAGAATTCTCACTTCTCATAAATTATCTTTGTAAAATACAACATTGGTATCATGGTACAGTTTTATCATGCAAACAATACTCTCATGTTTATCTGTAATGCTCCAAAAATATTTTAAATGAATTACACAAAATTAAATACAGTGTAATTGGGGTCAGTTTTTGGAACTTAGATTTGAGACAACCTCTCCAACCTTGAAGTTCTGCTGGTGATATGTACTCCACCCACAGGTATTCCTTTGTGCGATGGGAAACCAGAGCACTTTGAATATCAACCATCTGCACTTCTGTTCATAATAGAAGTAAGAAAAAAAAACATCTGGAGTAGCCCTTGACTTGTACGGTGAGAAAGTTACTCCTCCAAGCCCCAATTCCTCTAGAGAGATTTTCTCCTAATCAGTAATCTGATCACCTTGAGTTCCAAATAATTTTTTGGGGTGTGTTAAGGTATGGATGGGACTCTGGGGACAGCTGTTTCTCCTCTTTGCTGTCTAGTTCTGCTTGTACGTCAAGAATATTCCATATAAATTCATCGTGTGGAAACTCCAGATATGAGTTTTCATATTTTCTTGAAACTGTTTCCAGAAATCTTTTCTTAGAGCACATGCAGAAGTAAGTTAGAAAGAAATAGATATTTTTAGCACCAATTCTCTCTTGTCAGAGCTGAGCACTGGCTCTCAGTTATGAGACTATGGTGTCGTGTGCTTGGCCTTTGAGGTTTTGGATTCATTGTATTCAAAGTCCTAACTTTAATTGACAAATGTGCAAAGTTCCCTTAAATTTATCTTTCTAAAAGACTGAGTCTGATCATCATTTCCCCATTGTTCCAAAAATAGGGAATAGCATCTTCCAGATCTTAAGTCTGTAGGCAAACATTTCTCTCTGACAACAAGCATATGAATTTGCAATCCATTCTATTAAAGACAGAAAATAAATGGTTTGGATTTTATTCTTCTTTATACAGCTAACCATATTATGCCTGTTATAAGTGTTCTCTGAAATTCTAGTACAGTAAGTAGCATAGAAGCTGATGCTCGAGCTAACATATATGAATAGAAATATAAATGTCCTTTGTTATGTAAAATAATTTGGTTTTAAACTCAGATTTATAAGAATGTAGTCATTTTGTTACGTCTTAGATGCATTTATATGTATCTGTCACAGATTCAAATAATCAGCATCAGTAGTTGCCAACACACAGATTGAACAGCTGCCTTTCTTTTTTTTTCTTTTCTTTCTTTTTTTATTTTTTTTTTTTTAGTTTTTTTCGAGACAGGGTTTCTCTGTAGCTTTGGAGCCTGTCCTGGCACTAGCTCTTGTAGACCAGGCTGGCCTCAAACTCACAGAGATCCACCTGCCTCTGCCTCCCGAGTGCAAAGACACGTGCCACTATGTTTAGTTACTGTCTTGTTCATGTGTATATACGTATTCATACATAGGTACACGGGCACTTGAATGTTACGTGAGTGTATAAAGGCAGAGGTCAAAGGACAGCCTCAGATATCATCCCCAAGAAGAAGACTACCCATCTTCTTTGAGATAAGCTTTTTTTTTTGACAGACACTTCCGAACTAGCTTATAGTAATCTTTATAGATTGTTTTATGTCCAATTCCTCAGCCCTGGCTTATTAGGGGCACATGTGAACACACCTGCCATCTTTAAGTTGGTTCTGGGAATACAATCCTGGTCCTTGTGTTTGTGAGACAACACTTTATCAGCCATGTAATTCCACCAGCACGGCATAATTCTTCCTTCAGTAGTGTGTTCAAAATTAATACAAAAGCTGCTATTGAATGATAGTGGTGAACATGTTTATGTGCTGACTGCGGTGAAGATTGCACAAATAAGCATATATGCTCAAACTCGTTGATGCTTTACATTAAACTGTATGCAGAATTTGTCTATTTCTTGTATCTTAATAAAAACTAAAATTACTAATCAAACTATGAAGTTAGGCTCTATGTGACCAGGCTACTTTCTCAGCAATCATACTTTGAAACAAGTGCTTAAAAGTTCACTAATTACATCTTATTTACTTTTATACTTGGTGGTAGAATCAGAGAAAAGCAGACACTGTGACAAATTTTCATCATAATGCTCTGGAAATATGCTGGAAAAATTATTTGATTAGGGTTTCTTCAGTGAGCTAAAGTTTGTTTTGTTGTTGTGACTTGGCAATTAAAAGATCAGTTTCACATAGAATCATAATAATTTTCAGGTCCCTGATAACATTTTCCAAAAATGTCAGGTTGTATATACTGTTAATATTGTATTCAGCAGCAAACACTGTTAAAATTTGAAGTACTGATTGGGTCAACTTTAACTCAAAAGCAGAGGTAAGGGGCAAATGAAGCAAGGACAACAGTATGGTCAGATAGGCTTACCGACCACATCATTCCTTAGTTGGGACTTATCTGGGAACATCTAAATTCAATTTGCCAGTTTCCCTTGCAGTTGGATACTTGCATTTACCTCTGGCCAGGAGTCACTCACTTTAGGTATGGCCTGTGTAAATCTCTGTCATGACTAGGAGAGAGGCAGATTCATAGTACTCTTGATGGCTCTGTGCAGCACATTGGAGGGACCCTGGACCTGTAAGTCCTTTCCCACAGTAGAGCTGCCCAAAGGAGGTATTAAACCAAGAATACCTCCAAATGGCTGTTATGGTGGTGAGAGTAGAGTAAAGGGTGAAGGTTAATTAATAATTGAAATGTCAAATATTTATTCCACCTGCTAGCCTCATCATAACCAATGCAGTTGTTAAACTTTGCAATTATTTCAGTCCATACTTGAGTAAATGGTATCTCA